TGCGAACACATCAAAGCATGTAGGCCAAGAGCGGCGAAGATAACGCGCAGGAGTTGTGTGCTCGCTGGCAGTTTCACAGGCACACCTTCGAAGCAACGCGCCTCCAACTGCAACGAAAAGCTGCGTCCTGCGTTTGTGGCACATCACGTACTGAAATCATTATCCTTTTGCGCCCCCGCCCAGGTATGGAGCCAACGTCAAACGCCTACGCCAAACAAGGCTGCGCGCACGACTTGGCGCAAGCTGCTAGCTTAGCCGTGTCTGGTCAGGCCTAGCGCCTTCGAGACGGAACCAACAAGTCATCCATGGAAAAATACTGGCGCTCGTCACAACGCGGACATCGATGTTCTGCTCTAACCCCTGACTTCTTGTCCTTATCGATGTCCGCCATCTGACCACCACATCGTAACAGTGCCTGTGTCCATGCGACTTGCATGGAAGATGGTGCAAATGGGATCTTCCTGGATTGAATCGCCACCCGACGCGATCGCCATGGTGGCGTCCGTGACGGCGCCAGACACGCGTCACACTTGTTCCGTCAGCGGCGAGGCGGCGAACTCCGCTCCAGCGAGAAGCTAGCAAAGGGGCGCTAACTAGCGAATTGACCGGCGGGCAAAGAGGGGGGGGGGGGCGGCCGAGAGGCAGAAGGGGCGCTCAGACGCCGAAGAGTTCGACGATGAGCAGCCAGGGGAGGGCAGCAGCAGCAGGGCGCGCAGGGCCAGAGCGCGGTGGGCGGCCGTGGCAAACACGCGTCGCACATGGTGGCACCAGTCTTGGCCATCGCCCCACGCTATCTAACTGCTACGGGGGACGATGAGCAGTGCGGAGTAGCCCACCCTGGCGGGTTCACTTGGGAGACGCAGCCGCCCGACGCCCCGGCCCCTGCCTCGGCCATCTCCTCCTCCTCTTGCGTCTCGTGTTGCCTGCCCATTCTTTTCACGATCAGCGTATCCTACGAAACTTACAGCGTCTGCATGCTCAGCAGTCTCCATATTGTTACAAGGATTCGTCGAGCAGCAAAGGCGACCTGCTCATGATGCCGCGAATGTGTGGCCACTCTCTCTCCGGAGGCCCCCCCACATGAATCGCTGGAAACCACAAATTGGCCGCTCTCGAGGAGAGCGCCACCAAAAGCAGCAGGACGATCGCTCAACCCCCTCAGATCCGTCGACGTCTCTATCAACGAGTCCAAGCGGTTCATACATGGGGTAGCCCATGGCGCGGAATTCGGCACACGACAACATGACAATCCGTCCGAGTTCAATGAAGGATAAAGCCTCCGGGCGCGAGAGTTGTTGCTCAAAAGCGGTCATGACTACAATGCGCACACATCGCGCAGCAAATCGATGCCATTTTCCCCCATAAGGTTTATCAGCCAGCACGCTACACAGATCAAAACACATCGAAACACACCTACCCACACATCGTATCGGCGCCAAGGGAAGGAAATGACAAGACAATGGTCGCAAGGAGGAGGGATACGATTCCAAACGCGCCGATGATTAACAATCGCTTCATCTCTTCAATCGCTGAGGGGAAAGCCACTATAGGGCGAAAACGATCGCCCTTCTTGAACCCCGTTCTAATGGGGACGGCATTCCTGCCCAAGTCTGTCGAGAAATCCTGTCCACCCGTCAACTATCATTGTCCTTACCGCCCTCTGTATCATGATCGTCGCTCGTCTTACTCCACCCTTTCAGCTGTTCCCCCCACTCCTCCTCCTCCTCCTCCTCCTCCTCCTCCTCCTCCTCCTCCTCCTCCTCCTCCTCCTCCTCCTCCTCCTCCTCCTCCTCCTCCCTCATCCTCAACCTTCCGCCTCCTGCTCCTCATCCTCCTTCTCCTCCTCCTCCTCCTCCTCGTCATCATCAGCATCAGCATCAGCATCAGCATCAGCATCAGCATCATCATCATCATCATCATCATCATCATCATCATCATCATCTCATCATCATCATCATCATCATCATCATCATCATCATAATCATCATCATCATCATCATCATCATCATCATCATCATCATCTCATCATCATCATCAGCAGCATCATCATCAGCATCAGCATCATCATCATCATCAGCATCAGCATCAGCATCATCATCAGCATCAGCATCAGCTCATCATCATCATCATCAGCATCATCAGTCATTCAGGTGGCATCATCAGCATCAGCATCATCATCATCATCATCATCATCATCATCATCATCATCATCATCATCATCATCATCATCATCATCATCATCATCATCATCATCATCCTCTCAATCATCCGCTCATCTCCTCTGTTCCCCCCTCACTGGCCCCACCCCCCCGGCTGCAACCCTCAACAAGCTGTAGACGGCGGAACCGACTCGCCCAGCCTGCCGCGGCCAGCACAGAGACCACTCCCCGGCGCACCCTGGCCGAGCCCTCCCCCCCCGCCCGCCTCGCTGCCAGGCAGCGCCAGCGCAGCCGCCCGTGTGCCGCCGCCGCATGCTGCATGCGCACGCCCGCGCGCACGG